AGGCGACCCTTGCTTTTTCAATCCTTACCTTTACGTCTTCATCTGATACTCCTTGTTCATCGATGATGCTTCCCAGGTATGCGAAAGATTCTACATCTTTCAGAGCTTCTCAGTCAAGCGTGATTTCGTTAATGCACTTTGTTCTATATTTTAGGATCTCTCTTTTTCCCTTGTGTATGTGTTAATAACTGAATAATTAGTGATATGAAACGTTATTTATCTATACAATAGAAAAACTAATTAGCATTTCATGATTTTTCTAGTTTTCTGTCGTTATGGATAATTTACCTTCTACTGTACAAAAATATCTTTAAATGAATTATGAAATCAGTTTCACTGAAAACTCTCTATGAAAAGTAATAGGAATTCTTCTTAAACAAGTTAAAAATTAAAAAAAAATCAGTCGATCTATGAAATTAAGCATCGATTTTCTCCACTGATTTATATCTTTGTAAGGACTAAGATCATGTATATTGTCAGTTTTATTATCATAACTATGGACAAAACTATAACACAACATATCTATTTCATCATTATATAAACTAAAATACAAACTAATTATTGTCATTTTAAGATAAATAACTTTAGAGATAGTACAAATTCATTAGTAAACACAGATATTTCCTCAATTTTTCTTCTTACACAAACCTCCCAATATCGAATATCAATGATTAACGAGAAGAGAGGTTGAGAATTAATTATGGAATCTTAAATCTGAACAAACTATGCATTTCACCGTAGGCATTTTGAAAATATACATAAAATTGAAATTCATTTGGTCAGTTCTACTAATGTAGTTGATGTTTATTCCCTATGTAATTTTTTGGGAGAGCCTAACAGTTTGTGCATAGATTTCAATTAACTATTTTATTGTAATCAATTTCCTGTTTTTCTGATTTCATCAGTATAGAGTTGTGGAAATTATCAAGTTTTTGATTAAGATCATGAACTGATTGATGTTAGGCCACCACTAAAAAACTGAAAACACTGAAAGACCATTTCATCCTATTGTGAGACTCCTCATGAGTGCTCACTCACTCACTAGTGACTAGCTTTGTGAGAGGATTCTCAAAGTTCTAGTGAGAAGCCACAACCAGTAGGGCTAATCCACTTCGGGTAATGACAGGTATCTGCTTAGTACAATGATAGATGGTCGGGCAATTTCGCGGATTGGTTGAGGTTAACCATTAACACTGTTCGATTTCGACTCAGTGATCTAGTAGGTTAGGCGTATAACAGCTCACGTGAAATTGAGTTTGTTCACAAATATTTCGACTAAGTCATTTTGTTAACTTATTAACGAACTGAGTTATCCGTACAACAACAACTTATCTATATCATTGTATCTTTATTATTGTTGCGAATGTATGAACAGCATTGCTTACTGGCTACAAATTTATTCACGTTGCTAGCCTTACTATTAAGTGCTTACTTGATTTGATGATTCATTCATTTCACTATGTATATATATGTCCATGTTATTCATGTTCATTGCTCTCTCTCGCTTAATTGTACTCGCTTACTCGTACTCATATTCGCTGACTCACTTGCTCGCTCGCTCGCTTACCTCCTTGTCTTTCTGCACAACTTTTTCATGCTTGTTTGACGCACCTGTAATTTTGGATATCTGTGTGTGGTCCCGTAATAAACGGAATCAACGCTTCGTATTCGCCTTCTGATTAACATACTGTTAGGGCGTTATATAGGACGGTTATCAAGACGGACTGTGTATGAAGTTTAAGGATTATATCGAATACCGGCCATCACAAGCGTTCGCGTGGGTGACTGAAGGCCTTGATTTGAATCTCGTGGGCGGGATCGCGGATGCGCACTGAAGAACAGTCCCAAAGTAGGACGAAACGGCTGTCCAGTGCTTCCAGATTTTCTGATTTCGTCGAATGTTTTTTTCATTCACATTTATTGACGATAACATTTTTATTGATTCTGAGAATATATTTTTTTTAAACATGATTGAATTTATTGTTTTGTCAATAAATTTTTATAGTTGCCAGTATCTTTTGACATTAGAAAATATAAATAAGTAACTATAATCGAGGGTAAGGTAAATCAATTGTGAAATAATTGGAAAATATTGACAAATTATTCGACTTAGTTTTGTTTGTTTATTTTTTTCACCATCTGACAGAGAATTTTACCGTTAACATGTTATAAAGAACATTTATATAAATATGGATATATTCCAACTTTTCACTACTGTTTAAGAAAGAAGTTCATTAATAGAAAAGACTAGATATTCTAAAACTTATAATTTCTTTTTTTAATATTATATTTTATTATTAGAGAGGAGTTTTGTGGATTGGTTGAAGTTAGACAATAACACTGTTAGATGTCAACTATCTCAGTGATCTAAAGTTTAAGCTCTCGTGTGCGAGATTGGTAGGTCCTGAGTTCGAATCTCGCGGGGCAGGATCGTAGATGTACATTGCTGAGGAATCCCATACTAGGACGAAATGATCGTCCAGTACTTCTAAGTTTCCCATAGTGTTCTAGCTTCAAATGACTCATGAATTTATTTATTACATATGCTATTATTGATTAGTAAATGGTTTAGTTTAATCCGATGAGTAGGTTAGAGTTAACTATAGGACTTTTGGTTAAAATACTAACTAATCTCATTTTATATTGAATTTGAGTATATTTTTCATAACGAAATAATATCAACTGAAAACTATCTTTACTCATAGAAAACTTAATATTCATTTTATATGAGTTCGAGACTCTTATGAAGGATACACATACACGACAACACACGCCTACGGCCTGATACCAGAGAAATTCATACAATGAGACTGAGAACAACCTAATAGGTAGACATAATGTGAAGCATATAATCATCTTACCAGTCAACACTCCAAATATGTGAATATCTTATCGAGTAATTCCGTTTGACAAATAATCCACATACATTTTAATGAACAAACCAACCAAAGTGGAAGTTCAATACTATATAGATATACTATATATATATATCGTTGCCTGTTTATTAAATGTCTTTAGGTGTAAAATAAAATTGCTTTGATGTCGTGTTCTCTTTATTTCTGACTTATGAAACTGTTATGTTAAATTACTCATTTTCTCTCCCATAAATTGAATATCATTCTTTGTTATATACACTAGGAATTATTTCCTAAATCAAACATTTCTAAGTTCCATTCTTAATGAAGTAAAATTTATATCACAAATAAGCTTTAGCTTGACAACCACTGGTAAACAAGGAGAACAAGATAATAGTTTCATCCTATTCCCATATACTGAAGATCTTACAAGAATAATAAAATGAAAATTTTTACATCATGTGGAGATCATACCTTCTGAGCAATCATTATACTGTCGAAGTAAAGTCATTTCTAAATATTGGTCTTTCATTCTTAATGATTACCTAGATAAAATCTGTTCATGCCTACATTAAACTAATCAATAATCTGTAAAGTTATCAAATTCCCTTTGTAGCATTACGAAACATAAAGATAGAGAAGTTTTCTTTGTATAATTTATTAGCCTTAACGGAAGATAGTGATATTTGAATATTACCATACGATCTGATAAAATCTACTTCCATACTAAATAGTCAACATTTTCATGATGTACTGTGAAGTAATAGTGATCGATATTAACTTGATATCTCCAATTAGAAATTGGTGACAAAATGAATTTATTTAAGATATTTAGAGCTGTATTGTGACAACTTAATATTTTATATCTAAAATATATATTAAGTGAACAATATCTATTACAGAAAGCTTCATCTTTGTGGTTCACTTGAGTACCTGTTACTAAACTCGGCTTTGAATCACATTGTCTTTACATTAGTGACAATTAACCTATCTGGCTATCTAGGTAAAAGTAAGTTTGATGTAACCGGAATTACAAACAAGGAATTAAAAGCTACCTACCCTAACTATTAATAAAAAAAATTACTAATAACCAGAACTTCGACTAGTCCATCGTACAGCTTAAATTCTAGATCCGATTACTGTAATTCTTTACTAATTTATCACAGTGTAAGCTTAATCCTAATAGTTCAATTTTACTATTCCATAAATGGTGATCTTAATCTCATCATGCAATTCATACATTTCATTTATTTATTCATTTCCCTTAATTTTATTCCAACAATAATGTCATCTATTTGGTATACATTTTCCGGAGCGCTGTTTAACTTAAACATTTTCCTTTTATTTTTCTACGTTTCTAATTCTTTAATACTTTGTTTTTTTTTTATCTGACTACTTAAAGCTATACTTTCTAATAATGAACACAAGAAAGTACTGTTCAGGTATGATATTAACAAAAAGGAATAAAGAAAAATTGTTCTGTAATCGATAATCAATTTGTACAAACTGTTATCTTAGTTTGTTTCTTTTTATTTTCTACAGTCATTCCATCTGACAAAAAAAAATTTCATAAAAAAGACATGTTAATGAAAATTTCTATTCTCCAATTTTCTTATTTTCCTGTTTCTTATTCATATGCATAGATTAAATAATTTTATTACTAAGGTGGGATGGACAGAAGTGGTTTTATATTAGAACTTTTAATAATCATTAAAAGATTTCTATAGAAAATAAAATACCACAGTCTATGTGTGTATGTGTGTGTGTGTGTGTCGTGCTCCCACACAGAGAGAGATTTGATTTAAAGATAAAAATCAAGATCATAAAAAAAATATTACAACTATGATGGTAAATATGATATCTGCTAAAAAGATGAGACATAACATTATAATATATATAATCCATAACGAGTAACCATTCAGAATACAGACAAAATTTCCAATTTCTTATATATATATGTATTGACCAATGAAATTGTAGTAATTGAAGGGCTTATTCATCCAACCAATAGGAAAACAATATGAGGATAATTGTAATCTGTAATGTGAATAATCATTAAGAATTATTTAAACAATTATTATCTCTATGATCATATACTAAATAACTTTAATTATTTTTGTTATTGTTGTTCTTGTTGTTGTCAAGGCTCAACTACTACACATAAATCAACATATATTCATTTGAAATTATATACTGAATCATTGAAATCATTATCAAATTTAAAGAAAACTAATAGTTTGATCCCAATAGATCCACAACATATTTTATATGAAAAAGATTTAATTCTATTAAATGATCAATTTGATTTCATTACAAACTATTCTAATAAAAAGAAAGAAATATCATTTCAAATTCAATTGAATATTGAATATATTCAATTTCCAATTGTATCTACTCCTTTATTTCAATCAGTATTATTAATAATTCATATTAAAGATTGTTTTACTGATTATTTATTAAGTACATTACTGAATGCACAAAACAATATTCCATTGTCAAAATCCATAAATACTTATCAGAATAATACGATTATGTTAAAAGAATCTTTACCAAATCATATAGACTCATTAAGTGCTGATAAAATGCATTTACCATTTGTGATTACATGTTTAATTATTGGTCTTTCTTATATTATACTTTTAACTATATATACCATTTTAAAAATATGTCAAGGATCTAATAAATTCCATACAAACAATATAATTCCTAGTTCAACAAGTTATAGCTCAAATAATGAAGCACAACAAAAACGTTATTCATCATTTTCAGCTTATTCTACAACTTTATTAAATAATTATCATAGGACAAGTTCACAATCTCAATTAACTCGTTTAACATGTCCTCAAAAAGTTTGTATTATGATCTATTTATGTTTTCGGGTATTTTATACTTTTCTGTTCACTATCAGTGTTGGATTATCATTTATTTTAAGTATTGAAACTGATGCTACTGTGGAGTTTACTTCAGCAGTACATAATAATCATTTTATTACAATGAATTCATTTAATAATTATAATGGAAATATTGGTAGTAGATTAATTCTGCCATCAGTGATGAATACAATGACATTGACAACGGATATAGGCAACAGATGGCGTGGAGCTAAAGTATGGGTATTAGAAGCTGCTAGAATGGAGGATTTTTCTCAAACTGAATTATTAAGACAGGTAAGTATAATACTGGCGAATATTTCATTGATAACTTTATGTTTATATTTGCTTAATAGTGAATGTGACTTTTGATCGAATTGGCTACGTGATAATAAATTGACAAATAGTAATATAAACCAATTGTTATTATTCAAACTACTTTGCTCTATATCTTTATTTTTCCAAACTAATTCTTTCCTCGTGTATTATATCTTTATACACAAACTTTCTTTTATATAATACTACCATTAAATTAACTACTTCTATGAATTTCGTGTTCATCTTGTTGTGTTGATGAGGTGTGGCAACTTGGAACGATTTATATATGTGCCTGGTCGTAAGTTCTAGCTGACTGACTGACAGGCTGAGATTATTTTGCTCAAAGTATAAATTTGTCCTCGTATATTTTCATCAAGGTTAATTACCATAGATTTTGATTAGATTACTTTTCATAAAATGGCGAGACTATAATTTATAGACGAACTAATCACGTATAAGTTAACAGTTCTCGGATTTTGGCGCGAAACTCACTCATCCATTTGGATAAATAGATTTTTGGCATTATAGCTGATGTCAGTTCGTGATGAAAACTGTAAATTATAATTCTAATTCCTCACACCGATTTGTAACCCTCATATGGTCCTGGTTATTAAGTGGACACTGTCAAGGTTCGTCAAGCGTCGCTCAAAGGTCATCCACAAATTCTAGTCTCAGCAAAAAAATTTGTATTATACTAAAGTTTATTTTACTGTTTATAACACACAAGTTACATTGGAAATCATTTTATATTTCATAGTGATATGATTCAGTATGATGACATTTTTCTTATTAAAACTAGGCTTTTGAAATTCAGTTTCATTTCTCGAGAGAATGAAAGATGATATACCCTCATTTAATGTTTATCAACTTTTATTATGCTAAACTATTCATTCGATTGAGAACTGGACTACTAGCTCGTTTTAAAATTTGCTATAAATCATATAGTAATTACAAGATGTTTTTCTTAACTTAAATTTAACTGGTTAGTATTATTCAAAAGGTGAATGGTTTTAGATAGTCGTCGATATGAGAGAATCAGAGTTTGATTAACGTGCTTTCATATTTAGAGTCATTGGATTATCTAAATCTCAACGTAGGAAATCTTCCATATGGAAACAAACGAACATTTATCTAATCGTAGCAAAGTTTGTATGAACTTCTGTTTTGAGTTTGTAAAAAAATGTTTTATTAAGATACCGGGTTTTAAAATACAATTAATATTATGGAGGAGGGAAGTATGGTTACTTTATTATACCCTAATGCATATCCAGTGTGTGGGTATTTCTTTCGAAGGTTGGTGCAAAGTCAGTTTTGCAAAGAATCAATGTTGTTATTTGTGATGTTTTAAGTTATTTTAAGTTCAGCTATAAATGTTGTATACTCTGATGAAATGTAATTTAAGTGCTATTACACAATCTTTAGATGATCCGAGATTGAGGCTATAAACTGATTTTGTGGATAGTCTATAGCTATAAAGTTACATAAAGTGTAGCTAAGTACCCTTTCTGACTAAGTAGGTGTATAAAATATAATCTTGATCTCTGTTAATAATCACACTGCCTTATCAGTATTAATAAAAAGAATCAGACTAACATTTCTTAAAATCTAACTGACATAAATTTTAGTACAAGGTGTTTCTAAACATGCTATAAATATTTCAATATTTCACATAAAATAAGATTGATCCACCAAAGAGTTCCCTTTTCGGCAAATTCATTTTCAAAGCTGTACAATCACAAATATATAAACGTATTTTTCTGAATAATAATAATTACAATAGTAGTGATAGTAAACTTCTGTTAAGCATGGTAACGATGTGGTAGAATAAAGAAAGGTATTAAAAAATCTTTTTGAACGAGAAAACTAATGGTCGTTTTATTGTTAAGGGTTTGAATCCTCATCATAACGATAGATAAGGAAATTATCATGGGGAAAGGATGGCTTAGCATGATAAGATAAAATGTTGAAATTGAGATGAAATGTAATCAGAATGATCAGACAAACAGAAATAAACAAGTTAGGGGTAGAAGGTTTAAAGAGGAGATAGAAGAGGAATTAGATGGCTGTAAAGGAAGAAGAATATGAAGAAAAGATGCTACAGACATTAAAACCATGATAGAAGAAGAGGTTGTACCAATCTCTTTTACATACATAATACAGGTCCTCCCATATGTATGGTTATTGCTTCGGCAATATTAAGAAGATGCAATATAACTGCCTTTGGAAGACCTCCACTTACCTTGTAGATGACTTAAAACTCAGAGTCCGTCTTGACTGAGTGACCTGTTTTCACAAGGTGTTCGATTATTGAACTTCTTATTGCGCCATTTCTTAGACATGCCAGGTAATGTTGTTGAATTCTTTTTGAATGATCTATATAAAACTGAACAAGTAATATTAAATTCCTGAAATAGATGAATTGTTTAAATTTGAATGGCCTAGATATTTAAACGTTTCTAATTCTCTATTCTGATATTCCTCATCTGTTTTAAATACACTGATTGAAATCATGAGTCAATTGAAGCTAGACCACCATGGAAAACCTGTAAGTACTGGACGGCCGTCTCGTCCCAGTATGGGACTCCTCAGCAGTGCGCATCCACGACTCCACCCCGCGGGATTCAAACCCAGGACCTATTTCAAATACTTCAAAACAATTAAGATTTATATAAACAAATATTCTAATTTGTTAAAATAGGCGATTCATTTTAAATAATAATAACTAAAACAAAAATTTTTGTAAAATGGCCTACCACCTCCTAGGTTACACTTATCTGCATAGTTAATATGTTCATTCAAGCATCAATTTGTGCTTATTTGAATTATTGATGATTATTCAATATTAGAGCTAATGAAATAACAAATATGTGATACATCTGTTATGTTCGTTAACTTGAATGCTAATACTGATTCGTCTTACTCGGAACGGAACGAAGAATCAAGGATTCAGAGACTCGATAGGCTATACTGGTCCGTTATCCCCGACTCACCTAACTCGATCCAGACGTCTTTGTAAGATGTAGAAAGTGTATTCTACAGACCAGCAGAAGATACCATTTCCATCAAGCACACAAATCAAGCGTATTTATACAAAATATATATAATCGATATTGCCATAGAAGTTTTTAAACATTTAATCGATAAGTTTGTCAATCGACTATATGAGTGGTTGGTAAGAAATGCTCAAGCATACATCTGCATACAAGCTCCACAAAGATAAAATTGCAAACTGTGAGTTTTGGGGATCTAATGTCCCCAACAACATCCTTAAAATAAAAAATAAGAAAAAGAGAAACCTAGCAGTAAATTAATTTTTCTAGCCTCAAATGAGTTTTGTTTAGTTTTGTCTTTCTTCAATGACCACAACAAGATAATCTAATGTTTTTTCATTTGGTTATTCATTGTATCAAGTATTTAGAAGAAAAAAATTACTCATCATTTTAAAAAAGTTAATAATTGTTATGTTTATTGTTATTATTATTGGTGTTACCATAGTTCTGAGTAAACATGCACACAAAACTACATTTTTTTAAGATGTCGACTACGTATGTATGTATGTTATTGAATGCTAGTAGCCATATAATTGAAATTAATTGAACATGCAACCAATTCGTTGAATTATTAATGCATATAAATGTTTTTTTTTGTTGTCATATTTTCTATCGTATACCTACTTGTATTACCTCATAGTTTGCTGGTAGGATTATTGAGTTATCATAATAAAACTAAGTAATAATAATAACAATACCAGGATTATTATTCTGGATATGTTTACGGGTAAAAACAATAATAAGACTATAATTAATGTTTTTAATAGTTGAATTGATGAGTCTATGTAAGCTTGACAACCATCAAAAACCTGGAAGCACTTGAAGCCGTGACCACTAGAGTCTGATCCGTGTCAGTTGGAGCCAGGTATCTACCTCAGACAATGAATGAATAGTTGCTCGATATCATAGATTGATCAAAGTTAGACATTAACAAAGTTCGATGCCAACTCAGTGGTCTAAAAGTTGAGCATTCGCGCGCGAGATCGAAGGTCCTGGGTTCGAATCCTACGGGTCGGGATTGTGGGTGCGTACTACTGAGGAGTTCCATACTAGGGAGAAATGACGTCTAGTGCTCCTAGGTTTTCACGGATGATCAAGCTTACGTAGAATCATGAACTCAAATATTCAAATTACTACAATCTCCACAAACTCACATTCTTATAATAATTAATGTGTCATTTATTATATTTGTAACTATCTAAACGCTTGTTAAGTTCACGTTTATCCTGGGTCATATTTATCATTTGTTGCTGATTATTTCTCATTCAGAGAATTATAGACACCGAACATCAAACTTTACTTGTTCTTCCGTCTATAATGAGTGAATGAGTTTGTATTGAACTTGACAAAGTAAAACATGACACTTCAGGTATAATGTGTGACTGTAAAAAGAAACACAATTAATATCATATTTCCAACATTCTGATTTATATAACCTATTGAATGATTTCAGTGTTAACCTTCTCCTTCATTTCTAATCATGTTTGATGATAATGAAATTAACAACAAAAGATATTACATTTTGAATCCACTGGGAAAAAATCTTTTATCAAAAATGCTGTTTTATTAGATGGCAGTAGCTAAATAGATGTTCATAAACTCGACTTTCAGCTATACCTTTGACATAAATAAGTTTTCTATGAATACAATATTTGGATGCTATAGACTTTAATCAATATATTAATGATTCTTGTCAGAATCTACATTTAATTAGCAAAACTTTTTATGTAACTTGTGTTTAGTTGGATAAAAGTGTAGTGAATGAGAACACAAATGGAAACAATCGCATGTGTTTGTATTCAAAATTACAGAATCTCTTAGTGAAATCTGAGAACCAAACAGCAAATAGTTCATTTGCAAAATGTCAATCGAGTTTCTCATACTTCATTGTTCCTTCATTTTCTTACCAATCACTCTTTGTTCTCGTTC